GGAAGTAAATGATAAATAAAAAACTATTTTTAATTACATATTATAACACATGAATTTGATATTTTACAATTTTAATTATAAGAGTGCTCTTTTCTAATTTAATAATTTAGTAACTAATGTGTTACGGCATCCTAAAATTTGCACAACAAGAACAATTTTTTGTTTATTTATTTTACAATTTTTTAATCCTAAAATAAAAAGAATTTCCTTCAGTTTAAACTTTAAAGTGCATTAAACTACAAATGCTGAAAATTTAACGCTAGAAGAACAAAGAACTTGGAGAAAGTTCTGTTGAATTCAGAAATTACTTCCAGAGCCATCTGCGATTACCCGAATGCATTTCAAAGGAGAGACCTGGCTATCTTCATGCATTTGGGTTTCATACTGATCCAGTCGATGTTTGTGGATTTTTCACTGGAGTCGAGGTAATTCCGTGCTAATTCCACATTTTCATAAATTTCTGTTTCTTTGTATAGTTTGATAAATTGCCTCATAAATCTGTTTTCTCTGTTTGGGGCTATGATCTGCTATCTGCAGGTTTTGATCCCATGTTGAAATTGTAGTTGTTTTTTTTTTTTTTTTTAAGCTTTGGTTATTGGGTGTAATTATAAGCTGGTAAAGCATGATGCTTGTTCAAAGATTGCCTCGTAGGCGTAGACATCTTATATCTCTTTAAAGCAATGATTTGGTATCTGGGTTTGATCCACAATGCTGGAATTGAAATAGTTCCTTTTTGGGGCTATGATTATTTGGTGAAGTTACAAGCAAAGCACGACACTTGTTCGAAAGATTGCCTCACAGGCACTGTTATCTGTCTTTGGGGCTGTGATTTGGAGTCGGGCCAGGAATTTGTGGTGTACTTATAAGATGCTTTTTATGCAGGGGTTTTGCTTGATTCTGAGTTAAGGAAGGTTTCGTTAATTTGTTTGCTTTATGCTATAGGATCTCGTGATGGGACTCAGTAAAACAGAGGTGAACTTGAGAAGGCTGCTTGCCGCTGCACCCCAGCAACAAAATCATGCAAAACTTGTCCATGTATGTCCTGAGATCTTTCTCACGCAATCATTTGCTTCAGTGTATTATTTACCTTTTCTTCTCTTTTTTCTTGGCCAAACCTTTGGTTCTCCTTTTGGATGTTTAGAATTTGTCGTGATTTTTAGTTTTACCATTTGCATGCAATTTTTTATCTTAACGAGGTGGGTGTTATATATCTAATTTTGGAAGATGTTAATGATGCAAATTCTCAGTATGTGGCTACTTTGCGAGAACAATTGGAACAGCTGGCTGAAGAGAGAACACCAGAAGGCTTACCAAGGTAGTATCCTTGTTTTAGAAATTGTTGTTCTTTTTCAAATTTCTTGCATTGTTGAGAGGTGGTTCATTAGGGTTTAGTATAGAGTAACATAATCTATCTTCTGGATTTGTTATAGAGTTTCAAAGGCTAAGGTGAATGATTATTCGGAGAAGATTGAAGCTATTGCTTCAAAATTAGCTGCCCCACTAGTACGTGTGTATTGATTGGAAAGCCTCTCCCTTGTTTTGTTTAATATTTAAGATTGTGCTGTGATTTATTTGTTTATTTATCAGGAGATTGTCATTCGGAATAGTTTTACCAGCAGAAATTCTGCTTATATTATAGGCTGAGACCAAGATTATTCTCTTCTCTTATCTTCTTATCACCCTATCTCTAGGTTCTGATTGGTTCTCCCATAGCATTATTGACCATTTCATTTCATCCCTATCCAGCCCAATATTAAAGTTCATCATGAGCCAGTGTCTGAGAACTCTTTCAAAGAAAGTCCTCCACAGACAGATGGAGAGAACCATAATCCCTCGTCTCCAGGTCTAAGAAGGAGACTTGTGTAAGTGAATCTTTAATTGATTAAGGATGAGCTTTGCTTCAACCCGTGTAATAATCTTCTTGTTTACCATTGTCAGGCCTGCCTCCAGTACCAAAGATAGAAATCAAGACACCAAAGAGGCTGATACATCTCCTTCTGTTAAACTGGATGCTGCAGCTCAAGTACACATAGAGAAGCATAGGTGCTTTTTGATTCCCTTTTTCTTACAATTTCAATTTTGCACAATTGAAGTGTGAAACGGAATGGAGGGAGAATATATACATGCTCGTTATTTTTATTCTCTTTTCAAACAGAAAGCTTCAGGAGGACTTAACTGATGAAATGGTTGTGTTGGCAAGACAACTCAAAGAGAGTAGTCTGATGATGAGCCACTCTGTGCAGAACACTGAAAAGGTAAGGTTCGATCTTAAGTTTTCAGTCTTCCATTAATCAATTTATTGATTGTTTTGAACACATAACATGCACATTGTGGAATTTGCTTAAATGGAGTATGAAAGAGCAAGACACATTAACCTTATACAGTTGAAGAACATGGTGTTTCCCAACTTAGTAATTATGTTTCTCAGAACAATCTTGTTTGCTATTATATCTTCCATTTGTTTTCACATTAATACAATTAAGTGATTCCTATTTAGTCATTGATTGTTTTGAACATGTGACATGTATTAGTATTTTTTTAAGATGTGGATTATGTGATTATATATTGGAAAATGTGTGGTTGACAATCTAGCAGTTCATGTCTCTTTCAGTAACTATCTAGAGGAATGCTAGCTGCACTCGCCTTTCTCCAGCACTCTCCAACACTCCTTCATCTAAAATAGCCACATGAACTTTTCTAGATGGAAACTTTGAATTGCGAGCCAAAGTTTGTTACGTGGACAGTTTACATGAGAAAGTGTTGGAGAGTGCTGGCGAAAGGCGAGTGCAGCTAGCATTCCTCATCTTATCATTACTTCTCCATGGTATATTTTATTAAGAAATAGTAATTTTTGTTAGTTCATGCACTGGGATGTCTTCATGGACATGATCTAATGTACATGGATAAATTATTAAAACTTGGTGTAACAGTGAATGCTATGTCAGATACCAACCAATCCATCATGTGACTGCTTCATTCTTTATGATCCTTCAAAGTTTCAGCTTCTTGGCCAACATTGTCTGTCAATATTTATTTTGACGCCTGATATATACTTTGTAATGTTTGTGGTTTTAGTGTATTATAGGCTTGCAATCTCAACTATTCTCTCTGAATTTTTTATTTCCTTTTTAAAACTCGGAACTAATGAAACTTTAGTCATTAATTGCAGGAAGATAAGTCCTATTCTTTGCTTCTTATTCTGAATCATCGTCTCTTTCCAGCTTTGCAAATATGCATTATATTCGCAATCTGATTCCCTGCTATACCATGTACTTGTTTGATTTACAATGCAAAAATCAAATGACCCAGCACATACCTATCTAAATCAGCACTCAGTTATTTACCCCATTAGACTACCATTAAACACATTCGAAGCAAACCTAACAACCCCCCATCTGTGGAAGCTGCAGTGCATTTGTCATGGATGTGATTGTTTTGCTTTTCATGATTTCTCCCATGAATGATAATTAAATGGATACTGGATATCATGCAGATACTGGATTCCACAGAAAAGGCTGTCGAGCATAGTCTGGCTAGTACTGGACATGCTAACGTCCGTGCCATGAAGATATACTCAGAAACCTCTAAGACTACATGTTTCACATGGCTTCTGATGTTTGTTATGACTTGTATATTCATCATGGTTGTACTCTTGATTCGTGCCACATAATGTGAATCTTGAACAATTGAAGAGCAAGATCATCATGCTTATATAGAGGCAGAGCGTCTTGAAAACAATTTTTTACTGGAAACCTATCAACGGAATTAAGTTGAGTGGTTAGCATTTACAATTTTTGTTCCTGTCGCTGAAACCTGTCAAATTTTTTTTTTTCTCAAATAGTTATCAATATATATTTTGATGAAAACTATTGAACTCGAATTAGAAAAAAAAAAAAAATGACAAACCCTTCATAAGAAGAGAAGCAGCAGCAGCAGCAGCAGCAGCAGACAGAACCAGATGCAGAAAGTGCGCGGCATAGGAAAGAACAGAAGAATTTAGTATATTGCATCACTTCACCGCAAAATGACATTACAGTTACATGACCCTGGGGCGAAGCCATAATATGGTATGAGCTCCTTCACTCCTAGTCATCCAAAACTCCAATTGCTAGCTATTTAAAATTTGATTGGATATAACTTATGATTATGTTGGTACACAGCTGTGACATACATCTTGTATATTACACACTAAGATTTGAAAAATTGCTTTTCATCTGATTGCCCCAAGCTAAGCTTCTGGCTGTACATGACAAAGGCTTTCTGCCTCCCAAAGAATGGTTCTCTTCTCTATTAGACAAGAATCTGAGACTTGGCTGCACCACGGGAACATTTCTTCCTTCCACCCTTGCTAAGTCCACAAACGCAGATCTCAAGGAGATCATAATCCTCTTCCAGGAACAACAGAGATGCCAACTCTGGTTTCTCTATGAGCATTTTAGAGGTCAGGAAACCAGCAATAGTCCATGTTTGGTAGAGTCGTGATTGCTTTCCAATAAATTTTCCAGTTGGGGTGTCATAGTATTCAGGCCAACGGTCTATTTGAAGCCTCTTTTCAGCCAAAGCAACCGCCTTTTGGGCAAGTTCTATTCTGCCCATCTTGATGCATGCCAACGTGAACTGCAAATATAAAACATTACTTCAGAAATGAATCAGGGTTTGCAAATTCAAAATAGGCCTCAAAAAACAGAGACGCAATGATGCATATCTGGGAAAAGATCAGATATCACACCAATCTACAAAACTAGTTTCTTGGTTAACCTATAAGAAAACATCTTCTAAAATCTATTCCTTATTTGCTGAAAGGGGCATTGGCACTTCTTGACTTATTAGCTTCCACCGGATTGGTTTCCACCAGACCAGTTTCTCACATGTTGAACTATAAATTAAAAATAGAAACATTTCACTCCTGATTCAAACTGAAGCGGAATCAGGGAGACACATCATCCATTTATTATCCGTGCTGCTAGTGAATATTGTGAAAACTCATAATTTAATAGGTGCACCTTGACTAATCTAGGCCACTGACTGTATGGATATAAGCACCAGGACAACTAATTTTTAGGGGCATCATTTAACTATATCAATCATACCTGCCAAAGGAGTGTTGGCCAAGATCCACCATTATGATATGACCAAGGCCTGCATTCAGTCCATCATATTACTTTCAGTAGAAAGATAGATAGATTAA